GAGTCTACTATTCTCTTTGGTTGGGAACTTCTTTGGAACACATCCTCTTGAGATATAATCACAGGTGAACAGAAAGGCAGTAGAGAAAAGAAGGATGAAAACATGAGGCGAACAATTCAAAACCTTTTCATTTTTTTTATTTTAAATTACAAAGGATGTTGCATACACTGATGAATCTGTATCTGACTAGAGGTGCTGAGGAGTTGGAAAGTGACAGAAAATAAAGGCAACCTTTGCACTGCCTTTTCTTCTGGAAATAAAAACTGCACAACTATTAACCAACATTGAATAGGATAATTTTAAACAGCTCATGCGTCAACAAGATAAAATTCTTTCTAGACAAGAGACAAGACTGAATCCAATAAAAAGTGCCACAGCTCCAGTTGGGAGGGAGGAAAAATCAACAAAACCACAGAATATTTATGATAGCATTACAAACAGGATCCTAAGCAACTATGCCAAAGAGGTTGCCACACTGTAGAAACAAATACTTCAAATTCTTGCCCTTCTGCTCTTCTGTGACTTCTGTGCTGGCAGCCCTAGTGTCACTGTTAACCACAAATGCTAAGCTATAGGACAAACCCGAGGTAAAAAAGCAGGTGATGGAATACAGTGTTATAAAAATGTGGTGGAAAGGCAGATACAGTACACACATACACATTTATGTTATTTGGTTCTGAAAAAAACAAAGGGTGAAAGGCAAGACACAGTAATCAGTCTTGCTCCCATCCACCCAAAATTGAGTTAATTACACCATCGTGTTTACATTGTTATGAAAGAGGCAAACCTAGTTCACCTGAACTTGGCACACTGAAATACCCAATTCTGATGTTCTTCACTCGCCACCAACTCGTCAATTCCAAAATACTATTTGGAAGTGGTTGTAAAGTTCTATTTCCTTAACGCTACCTTCAAATCTTTCTTTTCTAAACAAGAAATGGCAATTTGGCATAGTTCAGTTCCCAGGTGTAATTTCTACAATTTCAGTCAGTTTACTAAGCATGAGGACTATGCTTCAACACATAATCCCACTTGCCAATGGAAGTGTGTAACTTTCAGTAGTACATTTTCATTATCTTTCCTCAACATGCTTATTCCTTAAAACGAAACAACCATTCCTACAATTGACATTCATTGTTACATCCCAATGTGTTTGAAATATTAAAAAACATGGAGTCATCTTCTCATAATGCCCTTATTAAAATTACAAAGATTACAAAAGAATCCACAAGTATTACGGCACTGTGTGAGACTTATTTGTCATGATCCAAGGGAAGAACAAGACTGCAGTTCTGTGCAAAGTTGTGGAAATGGCCTCAGTTCCATGGGAAGTGGTATTCCACAATAGACTTCACTAGAAGGAAAATTGAAACCTTTTATTTTAACACTGAAAGTGTAATTCAATGCATTTTCAAAATTCAAGTTTCAAGATTTGGAGAGATGCTAACATTCTGTTACACAATTAACTACAACATACTTGGAACAGAATTTTAGGAAGACTATATAAAGAAAGGGAACATAAGTTTTTATTAATTCCTGTTGAAGGCAACTTGAATTCATTTCTTAGAAAGTTAACTAAATCTTAGCAGCTAAAATAATTTTAAATGTGTGGAATAAAGAAAAAAGCACATCCATTCTTGACATTTTGGTGAATAAACTAACAGCTTTATTAATGAAGGCAAACATCAGATAATTGTATGAATATTTATCAAAAAAGAAATCCAAACTAACAGCATTGTATTTCAAAAGTACTGTACTTCTGTTTCTTTTAAAGAGACTTGTCATCTGTTGTATAAAACAAAATGGGTACTCTTCTCTCTAAAAAGTTTTGGGAAATGAAATAGCCAATTTCAAGCAGGTTAACTGAATACATCTTTCTCTAAATGCAGACTATCACTAGGAAGCGAATAAAGTCAAGCATCAGAAAGATGTATGACAAATTCATGAAAGTGAAAAGGGATGTATGTAATGAAATTACTAATCTTTCCTCCCTCATATTTAAAGACCATTCAAAACTGGTCTTTCATACAAATATAAAATAACTATAAAGAGAGGAAATATGAAACCATACCCATCTGAAATCCTTCATGATGCTTTTGTAATAGCTCTGATTCTCTTACCAAAAGATCAAAGTTAAAGATTTAGGAAGTGGAAGGGAATGAAGACATTTACTTTTAAATGTACAAGTAAGGCACAATATAAAGCCACATCATAATCTGTCATGAAGGATATAGGAAAGGACAAGAATCATACATGGTACAGTAGAACAAGCAACCGTATTGACTGAAAAAGTGTGGCACCCAATTCAAAACTCAGACAAGATCTTAACAAGAGCAACTGGACAGCATGCGTTCATAGGGAGACAAACTCTACAAAGAATCCAGTGTATCTCAAACTAGGAAAAAAGGTTTTTGTTTTTGTTTTCTTAAAATCATAGTTGTACTAGAGTCAAAGTTTGTCATTGCTTTTGGAACAATGGGTTTATTTGAGGTGAATTCACAATGTCTTCACTTAAGATTCTTAACTTCATTATGTGCTATCTGTATACCATGTATGAACACAGAAAACCTTTAGAGAGCTCTTCTCTAATGATCTTCATCCAAAAATACATGCCACAATTTTCAAAAACAAAACATGTACAACTGTTGGGGTTTGTATATTACCTTATAAGATTGTTTGTGTGATACATTAAACATATATATTTAATGACAAGAGAGGAAGCAGATTATTACTGGCATTAAAGTACAACCATTTCTAGACGGTTTTAAATGCCACAGAGTCCCCTGGTTAAAATGTAAAGCTGCACAGCTTGCCTATGTCATCTTTGTGATAAAGTTAAAACAGCAAGAGGATTTAACTTTCACTCTACATTTTACTGCCAGGTTTTTATTTAGATCAAGTATCGCTGCAGCATTCTGACCAGCCCAGATTTAGCAGCAAATGGCAGGAATCATATAAAATGCATTTTTTTTTTAACAAAGTGCTTTTCTAAGATATACATACATATATAAATAGGTACAAAATAAAGTGTCAACATTAAAAAGCTCAACTATTTAAAAGCTTTTAACTATTTAACTTAAGTAGTACATATAAAACACTGAAATGCAAGGATATGGAATCTACTAAACAGATTCAAAGTCTTTTTTTGAAATGCAAGACCAAAAAATCAAATTCTGGTTTGCAGACAGGAAAAAAGTATCAAAACCCAGAATTTTTAACAGAGCAGCTAGAAAGGGGCAATTTTATAAACCTTATCAGCTGAATCTCTATCACAAAGCAATTTTCACGTAACTGCAAAACCGCTGTATTTCTGAACACTTCGATTTACCATACACTGCCAAGGCTTCATATATATCCAAGTTTAAACCTATGCTTTGCCTTCTCCCACCTAAAAAGGAAATACTTCAAACAATGAATCTGTGCTCTATTAACATTAGGCATGAGCTTATCTGCTAGCGTGAATGCACTAACCAGGTACATTTCCACCAAACACATAGGAAAATCTTGTGCATCACAATTCAGTGAAGTGTGAAGACAATCTTTTAAAATTTCTTGTTTCATGATGTCAAAGAAGCAAATAAGCAATGATGCTGGGTTGTTACCATGTGTTCTGGAATCAAACCTTCAAGTGCTTACAGCTTCCTATGCAATAGCTTGAGGGGAAGAGGAAGAAAGTAAAGGAAACATACTATATAGACAATGTATAATTGAAGAATACATTTTACAGTGGGTAATGAGATATTTTACCAGCAGCTATAGTCTGGTATTTTTGGTTTTTGTTTTTTGCTAGATACACTTGTTTTAAGTTTTTTCAGAGTTTAAAACACAAGATCTGAGAATAAAACAGATAAACAGAGTGGGAAGATCTGTGGGGAAGGTTTATAATGCTGCCTTGACATAAGAAATTTTTTATCCAGAGGTAAAGCTTGAACAGTTTAAACACTAATGAAGCTGTTTTATGTAAGCAAAAAAGAGCACCTAAAAACTAAATGTGTTAATGTTTCTCAATTCTAGAAACTAGAAGAATAAAGTCACATGTAAGTCTGAAGAAGCTAGTTTGAAAATACCTGTACAAAAATATAAAAATCTATAAATTTTTTTGTTTTTGTTTTCAGCTGTGTTGATCTTCGAAAATATTACATGCACAATAATACATCAATTGGAAAAGTGGCAATTAAAGAATTAGATTTTTTAGTTTTTCT